TGTGCCATCGCCGCGAAACCCTCCTACGCCCTACGGTTCGAAGTTCGGTCCTCGGGGATGGAAATTAGCCTGAGCTTTTATATTTTATTAGAATCTGCCTGTTGTCCGTTCAAATTAGTTCAAAGCAGCTTTTTCATAATTTTTTCTCCTCGCGATTAGTTCGCAATTTATTTTGCAGGAAATGCCTCCAAATGAACTGCATTCTGGCCGCCTATGAATTTGACCAGTGAAAAGTGGACATGCAGAGCACCCTAAAAAGACAATTAGTACATTAGTACATACTAGTGAAAAAGGAAACGTTGATATCATGGAAAAGAGAAGGTAGATCACGGCTGAAGCGAATTTCAGGAGTAGTGGTCAAACGGGAAATTCGGAGGACTCGAACGGCACTCAAAACTCTCGAAGCTCCGAGCTATAACTAGCCGTTAGCGTCCGTTACGTAAACATCCAAACATCAAGGATGTTCGGGTAGTCGGAAAATGATTGGATGCCAGCAAAAAGAGCCTGCTTTATTGTTTTTACCTACACCTCACATTTCGATCGGTTCTAAGCCGAAGTTATCAAAATTAGAGACTTATAATTGTGTAAAATTTCTTCTGTCAGAGAACGCTTGCGGCTTTTGACACGAAGCTAAGCACAGGTGCATAAAAATTCGGAATCTTACGAACAGTGGAATCATGACACAAAATTTTGCAGATTTTCACTCCTGAGTTTTCCTTACGAAAGTATCTGTTTTGTTCATTCTTGAATATGTATTAAAATTGGAACGATACAGAGACGATTAGCATGGTCCCTGCAAAAGAATGACATGCAAATTCGCAAAAGGTTCCAAAATTTTGGTGGAGTATGGTTTTGTAATATCTAGCCCGCTTAAGCTAGCACAATTAACAAGTTGGTAAAGGGTACAGAATGGTTTTACCAGAAAAAAACTCACGCTTCGAGTTTTTGGAATAGATTATAACGAAATATGTACATTCTTCTCATGCCCGGAATGGTAATCTTAACCTATACCTATTAGTAAGTAGAAGGAAAAGATCTTATCTCATTTCC